CCTTGGTGATTCAGTCTACGGTGGCTGTTTGTCATCTTTCCAAGTTTATAGATGAGATGTGTTTAGCAGTAAATCCTCGTCAGAATTAAATCATTAAAGAAGGGGGAAAAAAAAAACCTTGACTCAGCTTTCTGGAAAAGGTCCTACACAGGCGGCTTTGTTGCAATGACTACAGCAAAGCCCACACCCACCATTCTGTCACCACCCCAGGTCTAGGAGTGGGCAGATTTTTAAGTCAGAATGCTGACCTGCTCCCTCATACTTCCGAAGGACTGTGAATCCAGTTGGTATTTCTCACTTTTCTCCTTAAAAGCCTCACTGAAAGCCTGTGCCTTGAGAGACTTGTCTGTTGCTTGGATCCTGTTCCACTCCTGCCCCTTGGACGCGGCCGACAATCTCTCATTAACTCTGGAGGGAGTCTGTGTGTTTGTAGCCAGGAAGGAACAGAATTGGGGTTTTTGTGGTTTGCAGGGATTAGAAGGTTGGGGTCCTCTTAGGTACGGGCAGCCTTTGGTCAGACCCCTCCTCACTGAGCAGGTCGCTGGTTTCCCCTTTGGTTTCCTGCTGGGCTTGGGCAAAACGCTGTCTCTGCCTTAAATTGCTTATGTGTATTTCTCCCCTATCTGCCCTGGAAGTAAGGAATTTCAGAGTTCAAAAGGGACCTTAAGATCCTCTAGTTCTGTAGTTTTAATCTTTAGTGTTGATGACGCCCTTGGGAAGATAGATTAGGCATGGCCCTCTTCCCAGGAAATTGTGTCTTTGTACAGAACCGTGGCATGTAGTTCGTGGGTCCCTGGAGCACTTTCATGGACTCCACGTGGGAAGTTCCGGTCTGGTCCCTTCCTCCCTTCTCCCATTTTGCAGATGGAGCCTGACAAGTAGAGAGGGTGGCCTGGCGTCTTCTCCTACTTAGTTGTCTTTATTCTCTTGCTTTGCCTTCTTGCTCGGCTTCTGTTTCCTCAGCCCCAGACCAAGCCCCGCAGGTGGCGGTGGGGCAGGGGAGGAGATGGGCTTTACCAGTGTGGAACAGGATTCGCTACACGTGAGAACTTCGATTGCATCCCCCCCACACACATCCTAGAGCACCTGAAACCAGCGTGCACCCGAATTCTCCGAAGGGCTCCTTAAACCACGGATGGCCAGGCTCTCCTCTAGAGTTTCTGATTTGTAGCTCTGGTGTAGGGCCTGAGAATGTGCATTTCTTAAAATTCCCAGGTGGCGCCACTGCTGTTAGTGTGGGGACTACTCTTTGGGATCCATTGTCCCAGGGGGTCTCAGTCACAGGTAGGTAACTTAGGCTGTCCAAGGAGGGGCTGGTGTCCTTTCTGGCTCCCAAAGGCTGGCTAAGTATTGGCTGGACTGTGTTGATCATCTACCATGTTTTCTTGTTCTAGCCCAGTGATTCTTCAGGAGGCTGGTACCACCCCTCTGTGAGTGTTTGGGAAGTACGTGGGGGTGCTTTTTGTTGTCAGTGTGTTTGGGAGTACTGCTAGCAGTGGGAGGGTGCCCAGGTGGTCCTTGCAACGAGGAAAGCTGTCCCTTACCAAATGCATTGCGCTCCATGAAGAAATATGGAAACACACGAGTTGTTTTTGTCCCGAATGTGCCCCTAACTTTTTTGCTGATGTGTCTTTGCTCATGTACTTTCTTCTTTTAAAAATCTACCCACAGGGGCACCTGGGTGGCTCAGTCAGTTGGACATCTGACTTGATTTTGGATCGGATCGTGATCTCTGGGTCATGAGATTGAGCCCCATGTCACACTCCACACTCAGCATGGAGTCTGCTTGGGGTTCTCTCTTCCTGTCCCCTACTTCCCCCGACCCCATGTGTGCTCTCCTTTAAAATAAATAAATAAATAAATCTTTAAAAAAAAGAAAAGTACCCGCAAATGAAACAAAACATACCAAATAACCAAAAGCTTTGCCCAGTTGCTTTCAATTTTGGGCTGGCTCGGGGCGCCTGGGTGGCTCAGTCGTTAAGCATCTGCCTTCGGCTCAGGTCATGATCCCAGGGTGCTGGGATCGAGCCCCACGTCGGGCTCCCTGCTCCATGGGAAGCCTGCTTCTCCCTCTCCCGCTCCCCCTGCTTGTGTTCCTGCTCTCGCTCTCTCTCTCTCTCTCTGTCAAATAAATCTTAAAAAAAAATTTTTTTTGTGGGGGCTGGCCAAGGTGCCATTTCTTCTGGGATGCATCTCCTTGGGGCCCCCAAAACACCTTTCTGTTTTTTTTATTTTTTTTGCTAGGCTCCACTACCCAGCGTGGAGTCCAACGTGGGGCTTGAACTCATGACCCTGAGATCAAGACCTGAGCTGAGGGCGCCTGGGTGGCTCAGTTGGTTAAGTGACTGCCTTCGGCTCAGGTCATGATCCTGGAGTCCCGGGATCGAGTCCCACATCGGGCTCCCTGCTCGGCGGTGAGTCTGCTTCTCCCTCTGACCCTCTTCCCTCTCGTGCTCTCTATCGCTCATTCTCTCTCTCTAATAAATAAATAAAATCTTAAAAAAAAAAAACAAAAAAAAAAAGGACCTGAGCTGAGATCAAGAGTTGGATGCTTAAGCAGCTGAGCCATCGAGGTGCCCCAACCAGAACACCTTCCTAAAACACACATATTCTGACAGTTGAGCAGGGTTATTTGGGTTTATCAGCTCCATGTTGAACAAATCCCAGACTGTGGTCCCCAAGCCTCTGGTGATTGGTCCATCTGGTTTGGTGACATTGTTTATCCTGAATCAGGCCTTCATCATTTGCTCATTCCTGACTTTGGTTTGCACTTGCTGCTTTTTTATGTGCTACTGACCCTCCTAAATACCTCACTTTAAATTTATTTTGATAAGGTAGTCTGTGCTCATGATAAATAAAATACACAAGGGTACACAGTGAAAAATAATCCCTCCCCCACCTCCTGCATGTTTTCCTCCCCTGAGACAGCCGCTAGTCCCAGTTGAGAGCTCTGTAGTAGTTTCGTGTTCATCCGGGAATGTGCTAGGCTTGTGCAAACTTAGATATCTAACATTGTTTTTGGGGTGTGTGTGTCAGTCTGTTAATGGTGCTAGATGTGTGTTGCTCTTTTAACCAGATGCAGAAGCTTGGAGATAGTCACGCATCTGTTTGCATAGAGGTGCTTTCTTATTCTTAATGGCTGTGGAATATTGCACTGTATGAGGGGCGCCTGGCTGGGTCACTTGGTAGAGCATGTGACTCTTGATCTTAGGGTTGTGAGTTCAAGCCCCACATTGGGCATAGAGATTACATAAAAGAAAAAAAAAAGAATATTCCACTGTATGGCTATGGAATGTTATTAGACCAGTCCTCGATTTGTGGACATTTTAGTCCTTTCCAGGTGCGGGTACATCACCCAGGGCCTCAATTTGAATCATTTTAGGGTTGCTTTGCTCCCTGTGATTGTATCTATAGCATGTGTTTCTAGGTGGAGGAGGTGAGTCTTCACGGATGAGGGTGGAGTGGGGTAGGGATCTCTGTAGGGCGTGAGAGGAGGTTCTCTCTAGGGGAACACCAATCCCAGGCTGCACCTTTTCGGTGAGTTTTCCTGCTAACTAGCTGTGATATGCCTCTGGGCCATCCCTTTGGGCTCTCTGGGCCTCCACTTTGAAGTCTGTGGGATGATTCTCCAAACTCTGGGGTCTGTTCTCCCTCAAGGGGCCTTTGGTTAGCGTTTAATTTCCTCTCGGGGCGATGTGTCAGATGTGTAGCCCCCGGAATGCTTGTTGGGGATTTTTCTGAAGTTGCCCACTGAGAGTGGAGGGTTCCATCCTGTGGATCGGTTTTTGCAGAAGTCGTACACCATCTCCTTTAATGAGCCTGCTTGGAAGATGCTCTTTCAGGTGGAAGGAAACCCCTAGGAGGCCTCGCATGTGTCTGTACCAGACTGTGTTCATCTGCCCCAGTGGCCCCTGTCCACACACGGAGGTTGGTGACGCATGGCGCATCCCGCGTGCTGGGGCTTGCCCGCAAGTTAAAACCGGAGGAGGCGCGTCGTCAGGTTCGCTTTGGGGATAGTCGTCCTTCTGGATTCCACATCCCACCCCATCCCCTGTGCTCTCACGTAGCTGTCTTTCCTTGTGCCTGTAACGTCTCTTTCTCAGAATGTAAGGCGTGCCACTCGGGGCCCTTATTTCGCCCCGACGCTAATGAGACAGCCAGCGGGCATGGAATGGACCCAAGGCCTTGCAGGTGAAGACGGGGTGGTGATGGAAGTGTCTGGGTTTAAATGAGATGCTGGGAGAGTCCAAATGGGAAGGAATAATTGGCACGGGTGGGCGGCTGGCATGTCTCGGAGGAGAATCAGGGAGAATGTCATTTGTGTCTATCCCTTCGGAGGAGAGTCACAAGCAAGCATGACACAGTAAGTGTTGTCGTCTTCCACAAAGAAGCATGTGTGCCTTCGATTTCTGGAAGCGTGTGGCCTCTCTGGCCTGTCTTTCCTGGTTTCCTGGCCGTTGCCGTCCCGCGCGGGTATGGAGAAGAAGCATTTTGGGATGAGGACGGTACTGGTGTCTGTGTGACACAGCTTGTGGTGGCTGGGTCATGACCTGGTCAACAGGGACACAGTAGAGATGGGTGGGGCTTTTGGCAAAATGGAGAGCACGTTTCCAACTAAAAGTGTCTCACTGGTTGGTAGACAGATCAGTCTGGTGCCATAACGCCATGCAGGCCCTGATTTGTGTGTGTTTTGTTTTGTTTTGTTTGTTTGTTTCTAAGAGAAGCCAGAAGTCTAGGGTGATAATGGGAAGTTTCTCGATTTTTATATTCTGGCAGTGAGTTAAAATTTTAACAAAAATGGCATGTAGGCTGAAGGAAGTGTCTGACCTTTGAGACCATTAACCAAAGGGATGGGGTGAGTGTATTCTAGGAGGATGAACGAACACTACAGTGGCATTGGGCCTGGGGACAGAATGCCTTGTGTCCCACACACCCCCTCCCTGGGGGGCCTCGGCCTCCCTGACTGCTTTAAAATATGTGGTCCTGTGTGTCTCTTTCAGATCCTGGCTCCACAGAGAGAACAGCCCAGAAAAGAAAGTTCCCCAGCCCTCCGCATTCTTCCAATGGCCACTCGCCACAGGACACATCCACAAGCCCCATTAAAAAGAAAAAGAAACCCGGCTTACTGAACAATAACAATAAGGAGCAGGTAAAGGGCCGCTGGGAATGGCGTCCACACCGGCAGGACAAAGGTTGTAGGGAGCAGCACTGTAGCTTTCCAGGTGTTGCTGACAGCCCGTGTTCTTGGCATTTAGCAAGCTGCCTTGCTCTAGCTGTCATTTGCGTAGGACAAGAAGGGCAGCTCAAAGTGGGTCTGTGTAGAAATTTCCAGTGGCTTTTTAGATCTGTTTTGGGGACAGGGCAGTGACCCAGATGAGCTTGAAGATACTGTGCTGTAGGATTTGGGGATTTTCCTTGGATTTCCTTCTTACACTGTACTGCTGTTTCCACATGTGGCCGGAGGAGTTTTTCCTGCTAGACCATGCCAGTAGGATTGTGCTGAGCTCTGCCTGGAGGCGGTTACGGGGCTGAGGCAGGCTCCCTCCTGGTCTCAGCTTTCTCATCTGTAAAATAATAGGTTTAGGTCTGTGGTAGCACAGCTGCTGTCTCTACCCGTTGCCCACTGTCCTCTTTGGTAATTGGTCACCCTTTTGTCTCACTGCGCATCGACCCGACAGGAGTCTTTTCTAGACCCCTTCCTCCTTCTGCAGCCAAGACCTATCAACTAGATAGGAATATCCATTAGCCATCTTAGATCTTAAGAGATCTAGCTTTAAAATTCTCTGATGCAGGCTAGATACTCTTAAGATTTAAAAAAAGCTGCTTGAGCGGGCCACGAGGTCAGATCTCCTAGCATTGGAGGAAACAGGATGCCCCGGTGGTTCTGCTAGCATTTCAGTAGGGATTCCTCCGGATGTATTCATCCATCTTGTGCATTATGGGAGTGCCGAAGTGGGCCCTGGGGATTGGAGGTTGAAATAAAAATAAGGTTGTTGCTTTCATGGGAAGAAAACTAGCAACAGTTAACATGCCCCGAACTGGGAGAGGGCTGCATTTCTGCACATGAATCTATTTCCATTCTCAAAATTATATAGCGAGATGCCCGCTCTGCTTTGCTGGGTGTCTGTGGGCAAGTTAACCTCTTTGTGCCTAGTTTGCTCATCCACTGAAACAGGAGTAATAGTATCACGACCAGTTTCACAGGGTTGTGGTGATATGTCAATCATAATAATAAAAATTAAGCCAGGCTCGACACTAAGTGGAATAATCACACAAACTATGTATGAAATAATGAAACGACAGCTACAGAAATGTTCTAGATCTGTGCTGTTTGGTATAATAGCCACAAGCCACATGTGGCCATCCAGCACCTGCAAATGGCAAATGTGACCCAGGGACTGGGTTTTTTTTTTTTAACCAAAAAATTTTTTTAAGTTTTTAATTAGATTTCAGTTAGTTAACATACAGTGTAATGTTAGTTCCAGGTGTACAGTATAGTGATTCAACACTTGCCTTACAATACCCCATGCTCATCACAGTAAGTGCATTCAACTTCATCCCCACCCCCATTTCCCCCATCCCCCTGCCCACCTCCCCTCTGGTCACCAGCAGTTGGTTCTCTGTAGTTAAGAGTCTGTTTCTTGGAGGAACTGAATTTTTAATTTAATTTTAATTTAATTGACTGCCTGTGGCTTATAGCTACTGTGTTGGATAGTGCAGGTCTAATGAGTTGGGAATCCCGTTAAAAGAGAAGAAACAGGCGGGTCCTAAATAAATTTCTAGGGGGACTGAGAAGCGTATATGACGGTGCTGGTGGTAATAATACTAAGAGACATTGGTTGACCATGTGCCACTTCCTGTTGTAAGGCATTTTTCTGTTCTCATGTTTATAATAACCCTGTGGGAAAGGGCTGTAATTGTGTCCATCTTACAGATGAAAACACAGAGGTTCAGAGAGGTTAAGGTGTCTCCTCAAGGCCTCAGAACGAAGCAGAAGCTGCCTTTGAGCTTAGGTCTGCCTGTCTGGCTTGAAGCGCTGACACTCATCCCTTTCACCCAGGAGCCATCCCATAGCTGCTGACGGTGAAGACTAAGAAACACAAAGGGGTGCCTGGGTGGCTCAGTCAGTTAAGCATCGGACTCTTGATTTTTGGCTCAGGTCCTGATCTCAGGGTCCTGAGGTTGAGCCCTGCCTCGGGCTCTGCACTGGGCGTGGATCCCATGAGACATTCTCTCTCTTTCTTAAAGAAACAGAAACAGGAAGGCCACAGATAATCCCCAAACCTTAACTTAGGTAGTAATTTAACTTCCTGAGCAAACCCTCCCTTACCAGGTACCAGGAGGGCGTGAAGCAGATGGTTGTCCCCTTTGTGCAGAAAGCCTTCTCCTTTGGCCTCTGCCTGTGTATGCACACATGCATCACACTTTTTTGAGTTTCTACCCGTCTTTTAAGGAACTGGCTTGTACCTCTCTTGCTGGAAGCTGATCAGCCTGCATAGTCCATGTATCTTCTTCTCTCCGTTCCTCATCCATGTGTTAGGGCCATTTCTGTAACACAGCCCGTGACCACAGTGACGCGTTTGTCAGTCTGTGTCCCCTTTTGGACTAGCAGCCTCAAAAAGTGGCCAGTGTCTGGCGGCTGCTGTAGCCGCAGGGTGGGGGCTCGTGAATCCACAGTGCACTCTGGGTGTGGAAAAGAGGAGACTCGGAGGAGCTGGACATGGGGCATGATGATGCTCCTGAATAATCTGTCATCTTCAGTATTGATAGAAGAGTTTATGGGACTGTTGCACAGGGGAAGTTTGGTCCTGACCTAGAGATCTGGCTCTTTCTAGCCCCACTGCATCTGGGAGACTCAACTGTGGGACCATGTCACTTGCTGACCCATCTTTGAGATTCATTTACCTTGTAAAAAAGGGGTTTGGGCTGGAAACATCATAAGGTTGATTGTAGGTTTGTTTTTCAGCCCTAAAACTCCCTGGGGCCGAACAGTCAGGAGTTGGCAGAGGAGAAACTGGCTTAACTGCAAAGAAATGACATTCCTGACCCTTGACCCCATAATTTATTCTAGCATATCATATTTGCATAGTGGCCGCGGCCTCCCTCCTGTAACAATCTGTTTTTCCTTAAGGGGAACTTAAATCCTTTTAAAAAATTCCTCTGGACACTTTCCCTTTCCTCTTTCTTTCTTTTAGAATTTTATAGCATTACAAAATTACGGAATTGAAAGCAAATTGTAGGTCTGCAAGTGCTGGGTTTTACCAGTAATATAATTTCTTAGTCACCAACATTTGAAGATCATGAGATTTCAAATAACAACTTGTATTTTGGGTTCTTACAAAAACTCAGAAAAATCCGGCAACAGCTGAAGTAGAGTAGAGCCTGCCCCTTTAGACACAGGGCCTCTGTGCTCTAGTTTTACCACACTCCCCACCCCTCCCCAGTGTCACACCCTGCCGACTTGGCTCATACCTTCTGCCTTGGCTCTTTCAAGAGTTCAAATGCCTTTGATTTTTGGCATATGTCAAGATTCTTCTCCCCTTCCTCTCAATTTTAATTTCTTTTTTGTGTTAAAAAAAAAAAAAGCTTTTCTTGTCTTATAAAAACAAAAAAACCCCCATATTTTTCCATTTTTGGTAGACTTCTTATTAACCAAGTGGAGATCGGGGTTGAATTTTTAAGGTTGGACCTTATTTCACCCATTTTTCATATATTAGGAATTCAGTAATTTTAGGGGAGTTGTAAGAGGAACTTTAAAACATACTTTGTTTTTTGGGAAAAAAGTATTTAAGCCTTATAATTACTTTTTTTTTTTAAGATTTTATTTATTTATTTGACAGAGCAACCACAGGCAGGGGGCGTGGCAGGCAGAGGGAGAGGGAGAAGCAGGCTCCCCTCTGATCAGGGAGCCCGACGCGGGACTCGATCCCAGGATCCTGGGACCATGACCTGAGCCGAAGGCAGAAGCTTAACCGACTGAGCCATCCAGGCACCCCTATAATTAATATTTTATAGGCTTTTGGCCCAGTGGTATGGTTTCACTCTGTAGGAAAGGTTTGAAAACAAGGGGGTGCTTTTTCTTGGGATTGGGTTGGGGGAGACATCCCAAAGCCTGAAAGGATGCTCCTATCATTTTGTGGAAGGTTAGGTTGCCAAATATCCTGTGGTAGATGGCCCAAGAAGTATCTTCCCTCAAATGATATTAGGTAGGGCCTTTACTGAAAAATACTACTCTAATTTTTAGTTCTTGGGATATTTGACTATGAAGACTCCACTGGGAAGCGGGCCCCCCCCATCATTAAAGGATTGAGAAATAATCTGCTAACAGATTGGGTGGCCATCGGTATACCTTTGATCAAATATGGTAAAGGAATGATGGGGCCCCCCCCCTCTGCCTCTGAGTATAGGGTATGTACATACCATAAATGGGTGAGCTAGATATTATTTTGTCGGGCCCATGCATTGTCTTAAAAACTTAAAAATATTCACAGAAGTCCCTTGTTGGGCTGGGGCAGTGTATTAACAGTGGAGACAGTTCCGGGGGGTGTAGGCTTGCTGGCTTCTCCCTGAGCTCAGGCAGCACTGGGAGTGTGTATCTGCCTAGCTGTCTCCATCACTGGAGCTGAGCCGGAGCTGCCCCTTAAGATGGGCCCGAGTTCTGCCTCTCCCTGTTGTCTGTCTCGCCAGCGTCCAGGCTGAATGCCAGTGACATTCCTCGCACTCCAGGGCTGGGCAGTTTTTCTTAGAGCAGAGACGTATTTTGCAGTGTTTGTGCTTTAAATGGGGAAGAACAAAAGCTGGAACAAGGACCGTTTTCATTCACGTATGTTACCTCTGTGGTCCATGTAGGAATTTTGAGTTTTGGTCCCCGTTTGTCACGCATGTACCCTGTGCTCACACACAGCCAGAGCACCCATTTTCTGCTTTACGCAGACCAGGTGTCAGCTAACTACAGCCTGTGAGCCAGATGCTGCCCTGAGCCTGTTTTTGTAAATAAAGTTTTATTGGCACACAGCCACATTCGTTCATTTACATATTGTCTATGGTTGCTTTTTTGCTACTGTTGCTGACTTGAGTCCTTGTAATAGAGACCACATGACCTGCAACGCCCTCAGCTATTTACTGTCTTTTTTTTTTTTTTAAGATTTTATTTGTTTGAGAGACACAGAGAGAGAACATAAGCAGAAAGAGGGAGAAGCAGACACCCTGCTGAGCAGGGAGCCTGATGTGGGGCTCGATCCCAGGACCCTGAGATCATGACCTGAGCGGAAGGCAGACGCTTAACCGACTGGGCCACCCAGGAGCCCCTATTTCCAGTCTTTATACAACCCGTTAGAGAAGAAGTTTTTTGGCTACTGGCACAAGACTGAAGTATTAGAGAAGTGAGTGAATGAGCCTGTTCTCTTGTTCAATCAGCCTGTGGAAGAAACAGGGAAATAAGAACATTTGCTCACACAGCCTGCAGTTATCCTATAATAACACAGGTTGCAACCTGTTTGCCTTACTAGCAGGCTGGTAACACCCCCTATACGTAGGGCGGAGAAAATCGTAACTCATTTTACCTGGAATGATTTGCTTTTCCTTTTTTAAATGTTCCATATTTGTTATCAGACTATTTTTATGGAACAGGAAACACAAGATAAGGTAGATATCTGATTGATACGGAGGTTACCAGGCAGCTAGTTCTCAGCAGCAACAGCTGCTGCCTAGCACGCGTCCCTCATGATTCCCCCCAGGAACACCCATTCCCAGCCAGGTGTGGGTTGGAGGCAAGGACATGGGGGCAGGGAGCTTAACCTCAGAAGTGGCAGCTAGGCTTCTCTTGGACAGGAAAGCCCTGGGTTTCCAGTTAGGGAGTTTAGCTGGCCTGTTCGAGTCTTCCAGTTTCATTTAGATTGACTCTTCCTGTCCTATTATTAACTTGCTGAAAGGAAGTCAGGCACTGATCTATGGCTTACTGCTATGTTGCGAAAGCCACGGAAGCACTCTGGAAGACCTCACTCAGGTGAGAAGTAGTTCGTGCTCGCTTGATGCGTGAGGCTTACCTTCCCACACGAGGATCTTCTCGTCTTTCCACCCCTTGCCTTCCTCTTGTTTCTTGTCCTTCGCCCCCTCCTTAAAGCCCCCCTTCGCCCCCTCCCCTGCCCCAAACGCAAACAAGCATTTCCTAGGCAGATAGCAGACCCTGTACGTCAGTGGTTCTCAACTAAGGGCAGTTTTGCCCCCCCAGGGATGTTTGGCAATATCGAGACATTTTTGATCGTCACAGTTTTGTGGATGGTGGGGTGCTCCAGGCATCTAGCCAATGGATACTGCCACACATCCCATCATGCACAGGAAGGCTCCGTCCCACAAAGAATTTTCTGCCCTGAGCAACAGTAGTGTGAGGGTGAGAGCCACCCCCCCCCAAGATGTTCTCCTTTCATGTCCCCTTCTGTGGTGTTTCTGGTTGTTTTCCTAATTTTCAGATTCACTCCCTCCCCCCCTCAGCTCTTTGCATGAAACAGAAGTTATTTTGACCTACGGAGAATGTTCTCTGAGGGGGTCACTTCATCATTAGAGTCTCTCCTCCACCCAGCATTGTCTTATACAGGGTATCAGGGTGAGAGAAAGTTGGGTTGTTTTAACTAGTTTTCTCATCTGTCAAGTGCGACTAGTGGTGTCTGTCCTGAGTACCTCTCTGGGGGTGTGAGGATAAAATGAAGATGATGTGTATGAGAGTATGTTAAACACTTAACATGGAGAGAAAATGGTAGTGATGTTATTGTCTGGAAACCAAGTATAGAGGCCTGTATCTGAATGGAAGCAGGGAAATAATTGGGCTCAAGAATTATGGAGTTACCCTTAGGTCTTTTTTTTTTTTTTAAGATTTTTATTTTATTTGAGAGAGAGAGTGAGAGTGAGCATGAGAAGGGAGAGGGTCAGAGGGAAAAGCAGACTCCCGGCCTAGAAGGGAGCCCGATGTGGGACTCGATCCCGGGACCCCGGGATCATGACCTGAGCCGAAGGCAGTCACTTAACCACTGAGCCACCCAGGCGCCCGAGTTACCCTTAAGTCTTAGTTGTTGGGGCGCCTGGGTGGCTCAGTTGGTTAAGCGTCTGCCTTCGGCTCAGGTCATGATCCCAGGGTCCTGGGATCGAGCCCCGCATCGGGCTCCCCGCTCCGCGGGAAGCCTGCTTCTCCCTCTCCCACTCCCCCCTGCTTGTGTTCCCTCTCTCGCTGTGTCTCTCTCTGTCAGGTAAATAAATGGAATCTTAGTTGTTTTCCTAGTAGAAAGGAGAGTAGGGAGGCTTCGAAGAATGGATTAACAAAGATCTACGAAGGAAGCATCCGGGAGGGTTGATAAAAAGGAGTGTAGAAATAGCAGACATTTCGATAATCTTAAAACCTCATACTAAAAAGCGGGAACAAGACATGCCTGCTTTTAATCTTTACCACTCTTTCCCATTATCCTGGGGGTTCCAGGATAAAATAAGGGCCCCATTACAATAAGGGGAAAAGAAAAGGAGTGTAAAAATACTAGAGATGAACAGACAAAAAAACTGATGTCGCTTAGAGCAGATGTTTTTAATCAGTAAACTGTTAGAACTGCCTATATAGGAGATCAGCATTAAAACTAACAACATTTCTGTGTACCAACAATAACTACTTAGAAAATAGGATAGAGAAAGATCCCATTCATAATATCAACAAAAATTATGCAGCTTTAACCAGCATATGAGACCTTTGTGGAGGAAACTGTAATGTTTTGCTGAAGGACAGGACAGGAAAAAAGCTTACTGTCCAAGATAGGTACTGGGGTTGTGGCTAAACTATTACCCATGGAATCAAGGCTCAAAGTGGGTTGAGTAGCTTTCTTAAGGTCGCATAGCTAGTTATTGGGTCATTTTGATGCTTACCACCAGAATTTCTTTCTTTCTTTTTTATTCTCTTTAAATTTTTATTGTTATGTTAATTTTTTAAAAAAAGGTAAGCTCTACGCCCAGCATGGAGCCCAGTGTGGGGCTTGAACTCACAACCCTGAGATCAAGACCTGAGTTGAGATCAAGAATCGTATACTTAACCAACTGAGCTACCCAGTTGCCCCCAGAATTTCTTTCCTTTCTTTTTTGTAGAAGATTCATTTACTTATGTATCTGAGAGAGGAGGGAGGGGCAGAGGGAGAGAGAGAGAGAGAGAGCGTCTCAAACAGACTCTGCGCTGATTGTGGAGCCCGACGAGGGGCTCGATCCCATTATGCTGAGATCATGATCTGAGCTGAAATCAAGAGTGGGACCCTTAACCGACTGAGCCACCCAGGCGCCCCACCCCCATAATTTCTTACAGTACTTCTTAAAAATTGTATTTGTTACTGATTTCCACTAGACATTTTTTCCTGATGAGTTTCTTCTGAGTGATCTTATATGTTCGGAATGTGGCTTTGTTAGATTGTATAATGTATCATTAGGGAAACATTTTTCTTGACATTCTGGAGTAGGAAGTGGTTTTGATTCCCATGAATTGGCCACTCATGTAATCTTTCTGCTGTTGGTGTTTCTGAATAGGAGATCTGGAACCTCTGCAAATATGAGGACCTACCAGGTTAAAGGATCATGGCTTTAGGAAGCCTCCGGTGGCTCACATATTTTATGCATTGGGGGTAGACTTAAAAAAGGAATGGCCTTTTTTTTTTTTTTTTTCCTTTTTTTCTTTTTGGTGCCTCAAATCCCAATTGATCTATCCTCCCAAAGCCTGCTGTTGAAAGAATCCTAGGGCAAATTGTTGGCTTTGTTTAGACCTCCATTTGTTGGTCTCTTAAGTATATCAGTAATGGCAGCACTGTGTTAAATGCATACGTTATATCATCCCCTTGAATCCCAACCCAAATACCATGATGTTAGGTATTATCATCCCCATTTTACAGATGAGAAAGTTGAAGCTGAGAGGTTTAGATTTGGCCATGGTCATGCAGCTGGTAGAACTAAAATTTGAACCTGGGTATGCCTGGGTAGTAGCCATTGTAATTATTCTGCTAGGGCAGCCTCTTAACTCTTAGACACCAGCTTTTCAATCTATGGCTTATGAATGTAGAAGAGAGAGAGAGAGGAAAAAAAATATCTTAGTATCTAATGACCTGCAAACTCTGTATTTAGTAGAGTGACCCAAGATAGCTTTTTAAGGAATGTGTGGAATGCTGTGATGTTCTTTTGTTGTTATTGATGTATTTGTTCAAATTCCTTTTGAGAATGCACATTTGTTTTGAAACCAAACCTGTCTTTCTTGCCTACATTTCAGTCAGAACTAAGACATGGTCCGTTTTACTATATGAAGCAGCCACTCACCACAGACCCTGTTGATGTTGTACCGCAGGATGGACGGAATGATTTCTACTGCTGGGTTTGTCACCGGGAAGGCCAAGTCCTTTGCTGTGAGCTCTGTCCCCGGGTTTATCACGCTAAGTGTCTGAGACTGACATCGGAACCAGAGGGGGACTGGTTTTGTCCTGAATGTGAGGTTAGTTCCCAAAAAATGAATGCATTATCTGCTTCGTTTCCTTTCCTTTCTCATTCTCCCTTTCATTTAAAAATTTTTGAATAATCCAGATTCAGGAAAAAAATGAAATCTCTTGCCTTCCACTTGCTCTATCCTGGTCACCCCCTTTCGGGACCAGCTTTGGCAGGGGCCTGACCACTGCCGCTCTTGCAGTGACAATTGCACTGGGTGTTGGTTTTGATTCTTCCTGGGTCTTTGGATCACTCTGGGATCTGCAGCCTTCTCTGATTCTGCTGTAATGAACATTTCAGAAGTTAACTTAGGAACTGTTTAACAGTTCACGTATTTTGAAAAGATCGCATGCTGTTTTTGCTCTTCTTGGATGTTGTCTCCTGCTGCATCCGTTGAGTCATTGGCGGTAGCTGAGAAGACCAATTTGGGTTGTGTGCTCCATGTGGTTGTCATCTGATGCTTTCATTCATGCTGCAACTGTTTCTCGAGTGCCCGTTAGGTGCTAGGGATCCGGCCGTGAACAAAAAGAGGCATGCATGACATGCTTTTCAGGAGAAGAGGACAAAAACCAAATAAAATGAATTGAAGAGAAGGAATTGGGAGTAAGGCTTGTGGAGGGTGTTTCCCTTTCAAGTGAAGAGGCCCAGGAAGGCCCAGGAAGGCCTCACTGAGACTTGAGAACGGCATGAAGGAGAGGAGGAGCGAGTCGTGCCGCCTTCCGTTGAGGCTGCAGGTACAGAACCCAAGCAGAAGCCCGCTGGCTTAGTGAAGAACATAAGTATCTCATTTGTCAGAAAGCCTAACGTTTTCCTTTATTAAAACAGTTATGACCATTTCCACAATTCTGAGGTGTCTTCCATTATTGGCGACTTCCAGTGATGACGCTTTTTCAAGATGCTGCAAATGATGCCATCTGCAAAATCATTTAATACGGAATGTCACTTGGGTTTGAAGGTATATTAGAACTTGATCTCACACAAGGAAGCTTTCTGTATACGAAATGGAACGTTCTCCCCGATGTCTTTCAAAAGAAGCAAGCTATAGGACGGTGTCTGTGGTACTGCTTTCGTGTTGGGAACGGAGAAAAATAAGAACTATATGAAAAGAGACGAGACTTCACATTGATACGATGATGACATTTTAATGGTGTTCTGCCCCTAAAATTGCAAACGATGGCCTCTGGTTCTCTTTGGGGTACTTGAGACAGAGAGATGTGTAGGATACCCTTTGCTCAGCGATGCCCTCTTGTTGGGGGGTCGACCTGATTCCGCTACAGTTAGTGGGGGCACTGGATCTTTCATCCGTTTCCTTTTGTCTTGACCCACCCTTCCCAGTGGTTTTATTCATAATTTTGCAGAAATGATAGTGACTTTTGCTGCAAGTAACGATCCTGATGGATGCGGGCTGGAACAATAAGGGATCAATAAGGATTTATTCTCATGTGTAGAAAGAACCCAGAGGCAGGGCCAGGCCAGAGTTTGTGCACAGCCAGACTCTGTTTCACTGTTGAGGCGAAGTGTGCCCTCACCCCCCCGCCCCCCGCCATGGCCATAAGCTGGCTGCTGGGGTTTTTAATCACGTGTGCCTGGACAAAAATCCCTCTAAGAGGAGGAGTGTTTCTGTTTACAACCCTTTTTATCAAGCAGAAGGACCTTGCCCTTCAGCCTCCAGGTGACTTTGTCCTTGGCCTCATCAGTCAGGATTGCACCGGTCTTCAAGCAAAAGAATCTTGAAAATGCTTGTCTGGCACTGTCAGTCTGTATCATGGGAACCAGGCACTGCTAGCCAGGAGGGAAGGGATCGGGGATGGAGGAGAGGTGAAGGTGTTCGCTATGGATAGCTACCTGGAAGCAAACAGCGATTCAAACAAACAGGTGTTCTGTGTCTAAGGTTCAGGGCCCCAAATTTCTTCCAGGGGTGCGTTGGCAGTGCAGGCACCTCGCTAGCTGTCTCAGGCTCGGGTAGCTAAGCCGTTAGGTACGTGCGTCATGTACTGTTTCCAGCTTCTGAGCAACTCATGTGTTGCCCTTTTCCTCGACAACCAACCAGACACTTCTGAAGGTTCCTTTTGGAGGATCCAGAGCTATGAAGGTTGGAAACTAAATCAAGATTAATTGGAGGAAACTTTTCTCAGCTCTCCCTACACAGATGGTTAAAGAGTGTTTCCTGACATCATCAGACTTTGCTATTTTGGTGTTGCTGCTACATAAGGAGTCTGAAGCTCTGGGATTTTGTACCAGATTGACATAGCAGAGTCTGGTTTCAGACATTTCTCTGGGCCTCTTCTTTCATGGGAATTTCCCTTTCAAAATGACATTTATTTCCCATGGAGACAGACAGCTAGACTACGCTTCTTGTGTCGTTTGCCAGAATGTCCTGAGTGGGTTCACATCCGTGGTGACAGAGAATAAAGTCATATTTATATTTAGTTCTCTCCCATCCCTTGGCTTCTTTCTACAGGGAATACTGTCCTTTTCCATCAGTGATGTCATTGAGTTAAAGCCTTGTCAGTTTCCTGAAAGGTAGCCCAGAATGCTAAGAGGATCAAGTTAAGTGACTGATTCATTGTGTGCAGAGATCACGCTAAAACCATTAGTGGTCTTTCCTTTCACATCCCATTCTTGAAACCCAGGGTTGTAATGGTGACGATTTTTCAGGTCCCTGCCCACCTGCCTCTTTCTCAGATTATGTCATCTTCATGAGCGAAAAACACTTCCAAATAAGGTCATCACCAGTGGATTGGTGTGCCTCTTCATTTTTATCCACTGATCCAGTGTATGGTCAAGTAGATTGGAGTCCTTCTCAAGTGAAACAACTAGTCTCGTTTGGATGGAAAGGAATTTTTATTATGAGCTTATTGGAAAATTAGGAGGAAAGGGAACTTTGTACGGGGAATAGTAATTTTTTTTCTAACTGAACATTTGTGTGATTTTGACTCGTAGAAGATTACAGTAGCAGAGTGCATCGAGACTCAGAGTAAGGCCATGACAATGCTCACCATCGAACAGTTATCCTACCTGCTCAAGTTTGCCATTCAGAAAATGAAACAGCCAGGGGTAAGAAAAAAGTTCCTCTTGGTATAAGTGTAAATGGAAAATAGTGACTTTTGTTGTTTTCTGTTAACATTCTTGTTCTGGGTAGTTTTTGCTTTCCAGACACCTGTGAATACTCTTTGGGTCTTCTTATGTGCCTGGCTCAAATACCTAAAAATTAAATATAAAGTACGATGACAATCAGTTAATTCTCTGTAGTGAGTACTCCGTGTCCCCAGTGAGTTTAATGGGGGAATGACATGCAGTTGAAAGTTGGTGGGGATTTAAAATTCTGGTTGGTCATGAAGTGAAACCTCACACCCAGACCCCGTTGGGTAAGGAGGTTCTGTACTTCTCCCTTTGGGAGTTTGTAAAATTCCATTTCAATGAGAGAGTGGAATACAACCCAGTTTATTTATAATCAAGGTCTGATGATGGAACCTCCAAGTGAAACTCAACCAGTGAGACTCCCATAAAGGGCGAGAATTTGGTTCATTCCTTCAGTTTTGAAATGGGATTTGAGGTAGAGCCCTTTGCCTCTTAAAGGAAATCCAGATGTGAAAGCAAGGCTGCCACATTCAGCTGGCACGCTCTGTTTCCTAGTGGTTACCCTCCCCAGAGTCCCAGGCACATCATAGTCATGGTGGTTTTAGTTTTTTTCATGACATTTTTTAGGAACATGACTATAAAATGCCTCGTTCTTAAAAAGAATATGTTGTGCCCATATAATCAACATGTTATGACATTCTTTGTACGGACCAATCTAGAGAAACTTTAAGGGTAGGGTTTTCTCTTTCCAGTTTGCACAGAAGCACCATATGGGCTAGTGGTGACCCTTTGTTAAACTCTCCAGAGTCTGCTTTCTAAGTCAAGGGAATATACAGCATTGTAGAACCTCAGGGTATTGAATAGACAGTGTGGCTTAATTTCTTAGAGAAAAAAAAACAAAAAAAACCCCCAAGCTTTTGTTTTGAGATTATATTCTGAAACTTGATACCATGAAAAAAAAACTCAGAGCATGCCAATTGGGTGTTGCTAAATTGGGAATCTATTTGTAACAAAATCTCCGTCAATGGAAGCAAAAGCATGGAGAGCCTCAGTTTGGAAAGAAAAACAACTCTTTTTTTTTTTTAACTGTAGAGTTGTTTTTATGTTGAGTGACAAGGAATTACTTTCTGCTTTTCTATAGGCTAAATTATGGGACTGTTTTACAAAAAGAACAGATTCATGTAGAGTTGTCAACACTGTAGAATTATAAACCAAAGAGAAAAATCGAAGAAGGCCTTAATTTCTCACATAAATTGTTTGATATAAAATCAATTAGGGCAGAAAGTTCCCGATGATATTGAAGCATCTTTGTAACTTGCAATGGCCACACACTTTCCTTCTGGGTAAAAGAGGGCTCCAGTGACTGCAAGTGGTAGCTCTTTCAGATGCCTTGCTTGGCTGTCATTTGGTGTTTAATTAAATCTTTTAGTTATTGATGGATTGATTTTGAGATTTTATTTACTTATTTATTTATTTATAAAGATTTTATTTATTTATTGGAGAGAGAGAGAATGAGAGACAGAGAGCATGAGAGGGAAGAGGGACAGAGGGAGAAGCAGACCCCCCGCTGAGCAGGGAGCCCGATATGGGACTCAATCCTGGGACTCCAGGATCATGACCTGAGCCAAAGGCAGTCGCTTAACCAACTGAGCCACCCAGGCGCCCTTGAGATTTTATTTTTAAGTAAACTCTACACCCAGTGTGGGGCTTGAACTTTTACAACTCTGAGATTAATAAGAGTCGCACGCTCTACCAACTGAGCCAGCCAGGTGCCCCAAATCTTGTAGATTTTTAAATATTGATAAGTATAAACAATCCATCAACAAACCGGGCCTTGCATTTTGAGCTGATTCACGTAAGGGCTGAAGAACGTGGCGCAAGATGAAAAACTTTGACATAGTCTCTGTGTTGAGGATAATTTGGCTTCTTGGAGGAGGAGCAAAATCTCACTGTCTGAATTTTCCCCCCAAGTGTAAAATATCTGCTGGCACTTAGGGGGACTTTATTAAGTGTGTCATCTCTGGGTATGGCCACATTTTCCTGTCTGTTTTGGTTATGGATGTTTGCAGGACATAGATAAGCCTTATTCAGAGTTCACGTACGAAGTAGCTGATGGTGTGTTGTTCTTGTCGATCTTAATAGAAGAGCACAGAACTTGTTATTTGCATATATTTTGAAAACTAAACAAATAACAAAAGAAACCCCCCCGCCAATGATTATTGATAACAGGCAGAACTAGAAGCTGAACCAGCTTAGTACTCCCCAAGGTCATTCTTTGTGGAAACCACTAGAACTGTATTGTCTGAAAAGTTGTCTCCATTTTGAAAGTACTTTTGTTACTATTAATGCTTTGTTTTCCACAGTAATGATGGGTTTGTGTATCCGTGTGTGTGTGCATCTCTTCTTTTCTTTTATAGACAGATGCATTCCAGAAGCCTGTTCCATTGGAACAGCATCCTGACTATGCGGAATACATCTTCCATCCTATGGACCTTTGTACATTGGAAAAGGTTGGCCTCCATCAAAGAACCTCACCACTGTAGCCACAATTCCCGGAGGGACTAAAGACCCTCCCTCACTTCCTGTGCCCCATCTCAAGTTAGATGATTACTCTGCCTTTCCTCTGCACCATTTTTATTTGGATGGAGGAACTCTTGATCCCTTCACTTCTGTAACATTCTTCCAAGGATTGTAAGGGAGTGTTGAATTCCACTGATTAGCTCCAAATATTACTTTTGCTGGTGATTGTCTGAAAATTGAGCTGAAAAAGTCACACTTCTATGAATCAGTGATTTGATTGATTTGAGCCTTACCTCCTCTTTTTCTGTCAGAGGTGCTAAGGAGGGCAGCAGGAAGGAGAAAAGAGAAAATTAAGTGTTTGGGAAACCGTCAGATTGCTGATAAAGATGTGGCTTCCTAGAAGTAATTCTACTGTTACGGATATGTCCTTAATGCCTGAAGGTGCTTTGAAAAGTTCAGGCTAAAATTCCATCCTGAAAATTACACTTGGAACGCTTTAGATTGTGTATATCACCCTGGTGCTAATTTTCAAATTTTTGGCATGAAATATGGGGAATGAAAAGCATGGATGAGGAGAAAACCTTATATTGTCTTGCTGACCCCCAAATGCTCAATCGAACCTGCTTTGAAAAATTACACACACCCTCATGGTTTTCAAGAAAAGAAGGCATTCAAAAAAGACAGAGTTGGAATCCTAGCTTCACAAATTAATAGCGTTGGAACTTTGCAGAAGTTCCTTAACAATCCCATACCTCAGTATTCTTGTGATGATAGTAAGTGTGTCATTGCGTTCTTAGTCACAAGGCTCATGTGAGGCTGTTACAATGAATAAAAGCCACGTCAGTATATAAAATATCCTGGTTTCTTGGAAGGGGCTGCTTGATAAATGACAGCTGGTATAAGAGGAAACAATTCAAGTTACTGTGATGAATTCAGCGACTTCATTTTTATGGAGCTCTAGATCTAAAATATAATAGCATCTTGGGAAATGGGTAAAAGCATTAATTAATTTGGCAAATGACTGCTAAGAAAAATGATGTGGGGACGCAGGTGTTAATTGGCTGCAGCTTGTACAGACTCACGGGTTATTATGCTCCTTGGCTTTTCTCCCCAGAATGCTAAAAAGAAAATGTATGGATGCACAGAAGCTTTCCTGGCCGATGCAAAGTGGATTTTGCACAACTGCATCATTTATAATGGAGGTGGGTGGCTTAGGTGGCTCCTAAAAAAAGAGAGTGTTTATGCTGTGTGTTTTGCTCAATCTCCCACCCTTCCTAAAGAATCATGCTCTTTTTTTCCTGCGCCAGGGCCAAAAACTGAGAGTATTTGTATATAGATTGCTAATAATGTTTGAATAGGGGACAGTGACTCTGTGCTTTAAGGGAATGAGCTGGTATCCATAGTGGCTCATGGCTATATGATGCTGCTTACCTGTCCTTCTTAGAAACTTTATGGAGGAATAATTACGTAGAAAAAATGCATAGATTTTGTGAATACAGACTCTGAATTTGACAAATGTGTAACCCATCTCAAAAGTATAACTACAACCTCAGATTAAATCTAGAGTATTTGCATCACTCTATTATATTCCCACTTGTCCCTTACCAGTAAATCCACCCTCCTTGGTTTTTCCTGCCCTTACAGATTAGTTTTACATATTCTGGAATTTCACACAAATGGAGTCCTAGTGCATTCTTTTGTGTCTGGCTGATTGCATGCAGTGTAATTTTTTGGGGGATTCATGCATGTTGTTGTATGTATCAGTCGCTTTGTTCCTTTTTATTCCCATGAGTGGTTTTTCACTGTATCAGCATACAATTTATTTATCTATTCCCTTTGTGGATTTTGAAGGATCTTTGGGTATTGTCAGCTTTTGGCTGTTAGGAATAAAGCCACTGTGAACATTCTTGTGGAAGTCTTTGTGTGGACATATATTTTCATTTCTCATGGGTAAATACTTAGGAGTGGTAGTGCTGGGTCATTGACTAGGTTTCTAGTTATTTATTTATTAAAGGTTTTATTTATTTATTTGGCAGAGAGACACAGCGAGAGAGGGAACACAAGCAGGGGGAGCGGGAGAGGGAGAAGCAGGCTTCCCGCTGAGCAGGGAGCCCGATGTGGGGCTCGATCCCAGAACCCTGGGACCGTGACCTGAGCCGAAGGCAGACGCTTAACGACTGAGCCACCCAGGCACCCCGACTAGGTTTCTATTTAAATTTACAAGACAGGGGCACCTGGGTGGCTCAGTCGTTAAGCGTCTGCCTTCGGCTCAGGTCA